TGCAAAGCTCATGGTCACAGCAGAAATATTCTCAGATTCAAATTTCTCACGGCAAACTTTGTATAACTTAAGACTTGTGTGTTACGGAAATTGGATTTAGTCAGCAAATAAAGTTAGTCAAAATTGTTATGATTGTTGAGTTGTGTAGAAATAAAATATTACAAATGTTACATGAACTTAAACATTTAGAGACATTTTATGTTTGTGCTCTAATTTTTTGATTCTCTAGTCTGTTGTTGGCATATTGACAATTTTCTAAAGCCCCCCGAGGCGATTGCTGCTGTTATTTAAGGCAAAAAAAAAAACTTTAAATGGAACTGAAGTGCATTCAAAGTGTATTTGACATATTGACACCACATTGGATTTTATTTAAGACACACACACACACATTGAAAATAAGAAAGTAGGAAAAGGTGAATGATATTATTAATACATTAAGTGAATAAAACGGTTACAAATTGATTGTAAACCGCTCATATATAATGTTAACCCATTAGGTGCCAAATTATCACATGCTTGTATCCAGGACACTTTCTATACAGCGACCAGGTTTCCCACAAACCTTTTCCTACCTTTCTCTTACATCTTATTATTGTATGTATTTCAGTTGATTGATTTTAGTCATCCTCTCTCTCTTTGGAAGTACCAGGGCTCCACCTTTTCTGTATCTCTTTGTTATTTTTTTGCACTGATAGCCGAAGCAACTTCCTATAGTTTCTGACTTATTGTTACTCACATGACAATAACATTATTCTGATCAAAATAGGCAAACGCTTTTTAAATATGCTTTTTGTACCTCAATGTATTTTTTTTTTTTACCCACATGATATTATGGTCAGTGAAGTTTGAAAAAAAAAAAAATAAACACAACTGTAACCGGTGTGTGGTCACGGCTGTTTGCGTGAGCATTAAGGAGTCAATGCCAGCTCTTTCACGTCTGCTCCATAAACGTGAGAAAGTGAACATTGAAATGATTTTGCCTCAAGTGTTAGTGTGCGTGAGATGTTTTAGTGTGTGCGTCTGTGTGTGGGTCTGTGTGTGTGTGTGTGTGCGTGTGCCATTTCGGAGCTTCGTCCAGATTTAGCATCTCTTCAATTAACAGAAGAGGCCTCATGTTGGCGTCCTCCTGGGCCTACCTGTACCTGCGCTGATTAGTGAACAGTCACAGCCCCAATTAGAGAACACAGCAACCTGGAGAGACAACACTCTTTATTTAATTGGATTGTGTTGCAGAAGGAGAAGGCCGCCACTGCTGCTAACTGGAAACGCACACACCTAACTGGGGGAGAATAAACAAGATACTAAAGATACAGAGGTTTTCAGATGTGACGCTGCAGTTGCGGGAATGTCCGTCTTGTGAGGGATTAAGCGGCTTGTTTTCTGAGAGAATTGTGTTTTTTTTATACTCGGGGTCTTTAAAGGGCCATTGAATTGAGTGATTGTGGATATACAGCACTCTATTCAGTTCAATTCAATTTATTTTTGTGTAGACCTAAATCACAACAGTATTTATCTCAGGGTACTTTACGAAACCACTGAATTTTGCTAACGCAGGTCAGAGAATCAAACACTTCAAACACAAGAAATGCAATGATAAAAAAATAATACCTAGAGCCGTGAGTCCATAAGGGGCAGGTGACCAATGTCCAGAAATGTTTTTGAATTTCGAGTGTCCTGGATCATCACTGTCCTTGGACAATCCTGCATCGGCGAAGGAAAAACTCTGAAAATCCCATATTGAGGGAGGGAGCCGCACCCATGTCCGTACAGGCTGCAGATACTCTCACTAAATACATTGCTTGGGTCATTTTAATTGGAAAAAGAGAGAATATTTTGTTTACGACGGGAGAACCTTTATATGTTCCACAGTAAGTAAGTCATTTTCATAATATAAGTGCATCTCACTGACCAAGCTCGCCCAAAGTGCTTCACCAAATTTTGGAGTATTGATATTTTTACTCACTCCACTCACGATGATGACAGAAGCGAGATGCCGATCACACAGAGGTGCATCCAAGCCTACGACCAACTCAATCCAACCTCTCTCATTACATTCAGACGTATTGTGCATGTTTGGAAACAGGAGCAGTGTGGGGAAAAAGGAGCACATAATTATACATAGATAAGTAGCTGTAAATGCTTCTTCATTAACCTTGGCCCCAGGGAGCAAGTATAGACCTGTAAAATACTCTTGGAGCTAAAATAAATATGTATATACTGTATATAGGAGCAATAGTTTCATCATTCAAATGCATATGAGAGAGAGAGCCGATAAGTGGACATTGCATCACTATATATGTTGGTGCGATTTATTAACTTTTTTAAGTAATTACATATTTTACACAACTAACCAGATGTGACAAGGATAGATGCAGAATGAAACCAACAAACATGGACTCAATACAGTATCATGTTCTTTGAAGATGTGCCATGGGCCGGATCAGACTTCATGTATGGGCCTGAATTCACCCTTGGGCCACAAGTTGAATTAGCCTCGTTTAGTTGAAAATGGCTATTCTAATTATGGCTATAAATGAACCATACATAATTAGTATTTAGGTGATCTTCTTTGCAATGTTAGATCACATTTTGCAAATCAATACTCAAATAGTTTTCTACATTTTTGTCTACACTTCTTTGAGAAATCCTCCAGTTCTCCAGACTTTGAGACTAAGGCAACTTTTTAGGCCGTCTGAGGTAATGCTTGTTATTTTCTGCATTGTTGTGGACTTCCAGAGTTCCAGCAAACTGACGGCAGTTAACAACAAAGACGTTTGATCAGTTGTGCCATGTGCATGACTGAAGCGAAAGCCAGACATGACAAATCTCCTGCTTTCCATTTCCTTTCCAGTACGACATTATAGTTCTGTTTTTCATTTGTTGACATTCAGGCGAGTAAGAAAAAAAAAAATCTCAGAGGTCTCTTTTCTCCACTAAACTCCTCTTTCCCTCTCGTCGGAACATGTGGCACTTAACAAAGACATCACCTTCTTCATAGTGTGGTCGCTCTAGGCACCTAAGGGACACTGGCTGGCTTCTCAGCGCTGCCAGGATCCAGACAGTCCACTCACTTTCTCTCTTCCGTATAAGTCATTCAGACCCTCTCAACTCCCCAACTCCCCGAGCCCCCGTCAGTCCTACCTCCGCCTAATTACCAAACCTAAAACCCCACTCAACTAATTAGCCACAGCAGACCCGGCAACTGTGAGTAAAGGTATAAGGAGATGGCTTCATTTGGGATGTGCGCGCGTTAAACGTGAGAGCGGAGACAAGGAGAATAGCAAGCCAATTAAAGCGGCGTAATAAAAACTTGCTATGAGTTGTGCGTGACAGAATGATAGGGAGGATGTTTGTGTCCATGTTTGGGATATAGGAGGAAGCAGGCGGGGAGAGGAGGGGCCGGCTCGCGTACCTGTCCACATGTGTCTCGGTGTGGCTGGCAATCTGTCAGCTTTTCTGTCTATCACCAGCGCAACAGCTCAGTGGGACATAAATTACAATATGCAGCCGTGCCACTTGTGTAAAAGCCTCCAAAGAAGGGGAGGAATAACTTTCTTAATCAAGTTCCAACTGATTAATTGTAATAAAGGTGTCACCCCTAAACGTGTTGCCATGATTGAGTAATTCGAAAGACGAAGACTTTGGAGGTGGTCAGTCTGATAGAAAGGGAGAAGGTGCGCGGCGCAAATAGCTCCTGGGCACACGGGCAGCTTTCGCACCAATGACAGTTATGAAATACAATTATCAGTGTGATCTGCTTAAGAATTCATCAGCAGCTTGAGCGGCCAGTAAAGACGTTTATAAGGGAGGGAGGCGAGAGACCATGCAAGGCCGAGCGGAATAAATGAGCTTTTTTATTTTGCCCAGATTGGTCCCATTATGATACACTATTGTCAGACTATTATCTTCTCAGATGTTTTCCACGCCACATCTTGTTTTTCTTTCATACGATACATTTTAATATGGTTATCACTATCAGCACTGGGTAAGGTCGTCAAATCCCTGCCTCAGTCGGCCTGTCATGGCCATGCTATGTTTGACAGCAGAGAGAGGACATTAAAAATACAGATTTACATAGCAGGTTGTCTATGGAAGGGCATCTGGCATAAACCTAATTAGAACGGCAATTAGTGCACAGTGCGAGGAGCATCATTTGCTGTAGCTGTAACTGAGAAGGAAAAAAAGACATTAGTGTTTGGCTATTGACTGAAACTTTACTTTGAGGTAATAATTCAATGTGTTACTAGACCACAGTCACTAATAAGACACGTAATTGACAGCTAATTTGATGCAGACGCTAATTAGACAAGCAGCAGACACAAGTCATGTGACACGTCTGGTTCCACACTTCCTGCTTTTGGATTTAAATCACATCAGTGAGAAAAAAAAATGGCAATGGGAAAATGCTCCATTGTCACTACATCATAATTACTGAATGTGCCAGTATTTTACCAAACAAAAGAAAATGAATGTAGTGAGTGTGCCGGACCAGAACTCTAATAGAAAAAAGCAAATAGTAAGAGACAATCCTGTCAAGCTATATTTTCTATCTACGAGACAACTAATAAGTTAATAAATGTTAGAGGTGTTTTATTGTCCTACATTCCTTTACAATGCAGTGAATTGAGCACATAGAAACATCTTGACATGTTTTTCAGACTTGGACTGCAGATCACATAACGAGAAGACACTGAACTTGGTGAAAATGTTGAAATATTTAAATAATCCCATATAAATGAATATTGTAACACTATTGTGCCCTTGATTAAAGAAGAAAGCAAACAGTCATGGTTCACTTGAGCTATTCATGACGTCAAGACTCGAAGCCAGTGCATGATTCTTCACCTCCAATGCCGGAGGTGATTGTATAAAGAATCAACATATGTATTTCCCCCAAGTCAAGAAAGAACTCTTTAAATGACAAACGTTATTTTTAATCTACCAAATGGGTTATATCAAAGCAGTATGTGTCAGATAAAATCACTGGTGGCTGTATCATCTCATATGCTGTACATTAGCCTTTGAGGCTCCAGGCGTGGCCTCTGGGGGAGCGAGGCTCCCTGACTGTGTCTGTTGAGATGTAGATATACCCTCAGGTGAAAGGCAAGGGCAGCATTCAGCAGCACAGGATTAATGACAATATCAACGCCACCCTGACCAGAGACTTCCATTGACTGGATAAAGAGGAAGCCAGAACAGGAAAGATAGCTTTGGGAGTCAGGGGGGACAAAATATGAGTTTCTTGTGGACGGGATGATGGACAGGTCCTGAGCCTGTGTCCCCGCGGTCCACACGTCCTCATCCTTTACTGCGGCCAAGGACAACAGAGGTGTCAGCCGCTCGTCCGCCGAACATCGTTCATCAGCCCACAACGGTAATGGGGAGCTCTCTGTGACAGTGGTCATCAGGACACAAAAGCAAAAGGGCCCATAAACATCACATGACAGATGGCTGCGAGGACACAGAGGGACAGGGAGGGAGAGGTGCAGAGAGGACAGAGAGATCCCTGGACAGGCACCAAGTTCCACCGTGGAAGTAAAGCTGAGGATTCAGAAGCTCAGACAATAGACGTGTGCAACTTGTGGTGCCAAAAGACTCTTTCCTTGAGCAAGAAAAAAATGCAAAATCGACGACTGAATGATTGAAGAGGGTGCTGCAGTTGAAATGTTTGATAGTCTTTACCTGCTATTTTCAATTTTGCTTTGTATATCTACTTGTACTCTTTTTTGCATTTGTTGAAGTTTGTTAAATTCTTTTGCAGCTTAAATGTCACAGCGTTTTATATGGAGGTTATTTGGCAAAGGCCAAATAGTGTTTTTACCCAGCTTCCTTCAGAATAGTTGGCTCAGGACAGTTTCCTCAATAAATACAAGTATAAGCAATTTGATTCAAAGAAAAAATTAATGTATAATTACAAAGGTGACAGATAGCAAAAAACAAGTTGTGTGAAAGTGAGGTGGAGGTGCGGAGAGCTGTCATAGACGTGAGTGCAGTCCCCACGGAGCCCAGACTGTGTGTTAGCCACACCTCTGTCACCTGAGGATGTATATGTTGTCTGGACTTGTTTACAGAGAAATCAAGTCACAATAGTGAGGCATCATGTTTAAAGTGTGAGATGTATCCTGCGTCTGTGTGAAGGCTGTGCTACGCTTGTTTTGTTGAAACAACCTTGCAAGTCCATTAATCGTCATTCATCCATCCTGCGCACCTGTATATAAAAGGGAAATTAGAATATCCATCACTCCAGCACAGCGTCAGTGTGATTGATGTGTTAGTCACAGGATCCTCCCCGTTTCCTACATAAGTCTGTGTTTCAGGAGTGAAAAGTGAACATTATCTCGCGCCATGATCAGATTTAGTCCACATATTTCCATCTAAGAGAGCAGATGATACACTATCCCTAAGAGGAGTTATGGAAATCTAATATGTGCAGGCTTTTGGATTGTTCCACTTGTTATTGGCGGAGTGGGCTGGTGACACTTTTGATGTAAGTGCATAAGACAATGTAACGAGAGGGAATCTCATTTTGTTGAAGTGTTTCTGTCAAACTATTGGCTGAAGGATGATAGGGAGAATCTGTGCAAACAGGTTTAGAGTGGAATTGTGTTCACAGTAAAATAACAACTGTGCACAAGAAAATCCTTTGCTAAATAGTTTGGAAGTGGGTTCTGAGATGGGAACGTGGCTGTCACAGTTTGAAGGTATTAAAAAACTTCCCAGTAAGTTTTTTCACAGTGTACACTACAGCAAGGCCAGGTATGAAAGCAGTTGTGTCAGGTCAGAAGGGCATTCCTCTTTGGGTTGTTAAATAATATTATTACAGGAAATTCTGTTGTTAAGATGTTTATTATCCATTTACATTTAAAGTTCAAAGTTATTTTTATTGTCCCACTTGGGGAAATTGGTTTTGCAGCAAACAATCATCTAAAAACAGATAGACAGAGTAAAACCACAACATTGAAGATAAGAAGAACAAGAGGATGTCACAAAGCTAGTTTCAGTCCAAATATGCTGTAAAGTGCAATAGTTTGTATAAAGTGCTGTATTTTTAAGGTGCCTCACAGCTGTTGGGATAAATATAGTTCCCAACCTTTTGTCCTGCACCCATGAGCCCTCATGCGTCGTTTTGAAGGTAAAGATTTAAACATATACAGTTGTTCTTGACAGTTTCCACACCCGGCCAAAGATGCCGTGACACATACCACAACATGAAGGCGTTTGTGAAGCCATTTATCGTCCAATAAACCATTTTAAAATGATAACATTGAGCCAATTGAGGGAGTGAATATTGAATATTAAGTTCTTGCAAGGCAGCCCAGGAATGTATAGGACCTGGAGACTTTTTGTCAAGAAGAAGGTGTGTTTTCACCATCAGAGAGGATAAAGAGCAAACTTCTAATCAGGGACTTTTGAGTAGTTTTTGGTGTCATTATAATTGAAAAATAGAAAACCTGTAAATTTGACAACAAAGGAAGGTTCATCGGTACTTCAGTTCGAGAAAGAACGAAACGTGGAGAAAACCTGCTGACCGAAAGAAAGATGATGTGAGCAACCTCCCTTTGTTTTGAATAAACCTTGTTCTACTGAGATCTTACATATACTGTTCATTCGACGATAAATGGCTTCACAACCACCAACAACTAGTGATGCTTTATCATTTATAATCTCTGAAACATGGCCAAAAAATGTACACCTCTGCCTGGGTGTGTAAACTCTCACGCACAACTGTAGATGCAGTTTCACTTTGGCTTAGACACTTGACGAAGACCTGCTTCACCTTAGGCGTCACGCGTCAGCCTTCCACTCCTTATGGACGAAGTAAAGTGAAAAGCCCCCATCGGTCAAGTGCACGTCTCTCCTCTGTCTTTCTCCTTGGTATGTGTTTATATTAAATGATGTTGCGTGTGTGTGTGTGTGTGTGTGCATGTGCATTCTCTGACAAGACTGGAGCCCTAACGCTGCAGGATGGAGAAAGGTGAACAGGAAACAGAAGGTGCCCACAGAGGAGGTATATGACATCTGTCAGGATCCTGGCTCAAACCCCCCATGGCCGGCCGGGGGTCACACAACGCACCAATGCCGTTGCTCAAGTTGTCACGACATCATGACACTTCTTTGGCAGAGTGGGCTGGACATCCTAGACACCCCCCCCCCTCTTTTCTTAGTAAATGTATTTGAGGTGAGAGTAGGTAGTGTTTGTTCTTTCATTGTGCCGTAAATGTCATTGTCGCCCCCTCGGCTGCCCCCTCACAGCCTGGATCCTGGATGAAGGAAGGTCAGCTGCCACCAACAAGGTCGACAAACAAATAAACAAACAAACAGAGAATTAAAAGAGAGGGAAAAGGTGCAGATGAAACGTGGCACAGTGCTCTGTTTTTATGGCTGTGGGGCTGATGTGTGTAGCGGCCATTACTCTCCGCTGGTGTCCTCTGCCCCCCATTGGCCAAAACAACACGCTGTTGGCAGGGCCGCGAGTGTCACATCATCTCACACTCCTGCTTAACTCTTCACATGACAGGGGCTGCTTCACGCCAACATCCCTGTGCTTGGTTGTGGAGGACGCCATGTTGTCCCACGCGGTGTGACCTCATCAAAAGTATTTAAAAGACATTAACTGTGGTTTACTTTTCCGCTGCTTAATAATGTGGCCACAATGTCTTTAAAAATGCAGCATGATTGTTGTGCTTTAGGAGGTTCCTTTGGTGTCCGATGGGTGTATATGTGTCCAGATATGGGAACATTCTAAAAAAAATAAAAATAAAGAAGCTCTATGCAAAGTGGCAGGGTGGCTGGGTGGGCAATACTTCACTGAAATAAGGTTGTGGGTTTGTGTGGAATTTGCAATGCTCCCGTAATGTCTGCTGGGTTTCCTCCTGGTGTTTCGGTTTTCACCACCGCCCAAAACATGCAGCGTGGTAAAAGTCTCATGCTCTGCTAGTCCTGCTGATTACGCTGATCATCAACATCTGGAGATGGATCCAGGTACTGCACTTTAGCAAAATAATGGCAAAAATTACTAAAGCTTAAGCGTAATGAGTGATTTTGGATCATTGAGAATATTTCCACAACAAATGTCCACTTCCAACCTCTGCTCCTGTTTTGCCCTAATGTGACATTGAAGGGTGGGTCAAATGCAAAGCACAAATTCCCCTATGGCAACATTAAAATAGAGCTCCCCCTGGCCTGTACAACATTATTTTAGAAAAAGATTTAATAACATCAAATAAACTCACTTGTGTAGAACTGTGCATACTTTAAACATAGACACAGTGTTGTTGTTGGCCTATTCTTAATAAAATAATAATTGTAATGATAATAATAGTTTTTAAGACCAAAGTGTTTCTTCATCCCATGACCAGTCTGAGGAAATGAATACAAATTCTTGAGGCCCCTCCTGATTGGATTAAGCGGAGGGTCAAGTTATGCCAAACTAAGGGAGAATTTTAAACATATGGTTAATATGGTTAGATACATATTGTATATATTATTGCAATATTTTACACATGATGTTAGATTGTATGGAGCATCTCCAAAGAGCATGCACTCAAATGAAAAAAGGAGGCAAGTTTATTTGGATAACAAGGCAACACAAATTGCATTTCTATTCACGAAAGGAAAGATTAATATTATACAAAGTAGTATTATAATAAACAGACATATGCACATAAAAAAACAAGCAGACTGTCTCACATTTTCAGAAAGACTGTTCCAAAATTTAGCTGCACAAATCTAAAATGCGAAGAATGAAAGACTACTGTATATCTGAAACTTTTTTTATTTTTTCCGTCTAGTCCAGCAAACTGCCCTGCTTGTCGAAGGGTGATATTGGATTTGAGTGTGGCTGCTCCAGGTGAAACCCAGGCCCTGGCTCCATGTATCTGCATGCAGAATGTGCCTTTAAAAAAAGCATGTTCCTTTTGTTTATTCTTTGCGTTGTCTTTTCCTCTCAGTGCGGAGTTTTGACATTGGAGATGACAGGTGTCGGTGGGGTGGTGGAGGAGGCGGAGATGTTGGTAAGAAAACAATCCTTGACTGCCTGTGGGTGAAGGCACACTCCTCTAGGCAAGGCGGCCTTCAGCGTTTAGCTGGGGGCGCACTATCAAAATCAGAGCCACTGCTGTACCCCTAAGGCACTAATCTCAACCAGTTACCGTCAAGAGCAGCGAATTCTTTATATAATCCTTCATTCCCCCTTTCTCTGCCTCTATCTCTTTCTCTCTAGTGCTGCCATTCTTGTGGTGCACGACCCAAACCACAGAGGTGAGAGGATAAATGACAGGCTAAGAAGGTGCAGAGGAAGCCGAGCATCTTGAAGCCAGCATTGTTTCTCTTCTTTAAACAAATTGTGCTGCCTTCACACAAAATGGCTTGCCGCTCTTGTTATATGATAATTAGCTGGGTTTCAGAGGCAGACTCGGCACCGGCAGATGCTGAGGAGACCTCTACCGTCATTCAGCCGGCAAGATGGAGAGGGTTTGTTGTTTGATCACTGGATGACTGCTAATTTAATAAGTGTTAAGTGTGGTGCAGCCGTGCGCGGGGAGGAAGAGGAATGAAGGAAAATGTAGGAGTAAAAAGCATTAAGATTAACTGATGACATGTTCAACTGTGCGCATAATATGAGGCTTAGTTAAGTACGCACACGCTGTTTGTCAATTATTCAAAACCCCAGGAAATTAAGTCAGGTAATCTCATGAAGGTGTAAATAACATTCTTTTACTGAAAGCTTAATTGAATTCATTTTCCACAATTTAGAAATAACACAATTGGATTTGCTTTAAAACATTTTTTTTTTTCCAGTTGTCAAAAGGTGAAGTTTTTCCTCCCAGTTTGTGTGACAGAAGCTGGAGTCACAGGTATGAGAGGGCCATTCTCTGCCTCTTATGAGCGCTCTGAAGGTCACCTCTGGGTGTAATAGAGCTAATATCTTATAAGAATTACTAAATTTGACATAAATAGCTGTTGACATTTGGTCGAATTCAATAAATGTAGCAATAAATAATGAATGATTTGTCAGCAGTTTTCAAAAAGTATTGTTATTTACAACTTACCAGACAACAATTCAATTTTCATCTAAATGATAGGACCTACTGTATATAGATAAACGACAAACATTTGATTTTAACAGTTGATGTATGGTATTCATTTGAGGATAGTAATCACAAATACATAGAGATATTTACCAAGCGGCACAGTTAGATGCTAAGGCACATTCTTATTTAGGTTGTGTAAAAGTATGAGGAAAGTATAGGTGACTTGAAGCTCCATCACCGTGTTTACACCACATAGACACTGCGTAGTATTTAAAAGAAAAGATAGACCCAGTTATGCACAGTATGTCGAGTTGTGTCCCAGTTTAAGTGCAGTATCCTTAAGAGAGCGAGTTAAATGTCCACCTGAGAGCGCTGAAGTGATGCTGTTTGACAGAGTCCTAAGACCAGTTCACAGACAGGGCCCCAGGCACTGCTGATCATGGGACAGCTCCAGTTTACACGCACAGACTGGCCAGTATCAGAGAGCGTTTTGATGCAGAGCTGCGGTGAAGGCCGGTATATGTCTGTCTTGTCCCGTGAGTGAACGGGCCGCAGAAGGAGGAGGTGGGGGTGGGCAGAGGAGGAAGAGGGAAATGGAGGGATTAGATGAAACCTTTCAGTGCGTGTCATCATCCCTGACATTCTGTAGGGCCTGACCTTAACAGAGCAGCACCATGTCAGAGGCAGGGGCTCATCACTGAGAGAGCACACACAAGCAGCCTTCAGAAATCTAACATCTGACATCAGCCAACATTCACTTTCAGACAAACAGGGAGAATGCACTGGGTCAGACCAAACGGATAAGTTCAATGTCTTTTATCATACATCAACTCTCAAGTTACCCTGCTGTGATGACCTCCATAACACAGTGTGGGCTCTCTGGATCAAAAGATTTAAGATGATAGTCAATTGAATAAGATCATCAATATGTATTTTAAATTAGTTTTAAAGCACCAGTATGTGACTTTTCATGCTCTTCTCTGATCTCTGTGCAGAATGTCCCTGAGTCTAAGTGATTTGGAGGCAGAACGTAATCAGTGACATGGATATACATTTTTATATATTGGAAGTCCGTTTGTTTGTACCGTTTTATGAAGCTCCCGTGGTTATGCATAAACTTTCGATTTCCATGGAGCCATACAAGAGCCACAGCCAGAAAGTGTATACAATAATTCTATGCACTAAAAGCATAAGTCTGATCTCAACCAATTTAAGAGAGTCCTGAAAAATGAGTTGAAATCAAACCAGTCATGCTCCCATAGACGAAGTTCAGCTTTTCCTTGGACTTTCTCTTTCTATATTTTGTGTTATTGTTTGTACTGTTACCTAACTGTGTGTTTGTATGTTTCTCCCTGCATATTTATGTTGACGCTGTTTGCCGACACATTGATTAATATATACTGTCCTAAATAAAAATAAAAATAAAAAAATGAGGATAATAAATAAATAAACTTGCTTGAAATTTGTATTATTATTTATTCATCTTTATTAAGGACACAACAAAATATGGTCCAAAGATAAAAGAAAATATACAATACTTTTTACTTTTTCTATTTATCTATTATTTTTTCTATTTATTTATTTATTTATTTTATTATTATTATTATTATTATTATTATTTTTCAATTATTATTATTATTTTAAACATACAGTATGAAGCTGGCAAACCTGTATATTTAAATGTGTTACTTTTATCTCTGTGCAGCACTCTGGAAACTTTTAAAATGTGCCATACAAAAAAAGTGGAATGGATACGATACAGTATATTGCACATAGACAAATAAATATGAACATAAAAAGAGACCGTTACAGCTTCCGTACAGTGTATTGTAAATTATGGACCTCCAGTAAGTCCATAATTTGGAGGTAAACAGCAGTGAAAACAGTAGTAAACAAGAAATCAATTTTGGACACACATCTTTGACGCTGACGAGTGCATGGGGCCCGAGATGTCTCACGCGCGTCCAACACCACAGTCCGTACATGTCCTTACTGCACCTTGTCTGGACTATCAACCCCAAACCCTCCTCCGTCTGTTCCTGCTCCTATAAAGCGCGTCGTAACCGCGCCTGGTGCAGGTATTAGTCTTGATATTTCCCTGCGTCTCATTGGTGGTCATCTATATCGAGTGGACAGATTTGTGGTCGGCCATCGGGCTGGTATTATAAAAATATGGTTGACCTTTTTGCAGTGGACGTTTGAGTGCGGGACAGCTCCTCCTCTGAGGTGTTTGGGGCCGCACTCTCCTCCCAGCCTTATTAACATATGCCAGTCTCCCTAAATGTTCTCATCCACTTTATTAACACATTTAAGTACACCAGTATCCCTTTTATGACGTCCATAAAGATACTGCTAGCTCACATTATATTTTTCATGAACACTGAACTTTCAAAATGAAGTGCGGATGGGTTGTATAATTATTTTTTGCATCTTTATAAGAACCTTAGGCATTCATCCCAAAGTCCTGCACTTTTCAACTTGTTTTTAACCCGGTTTTGCGTCTCTAAAAACTGTATTTAAACTATTGCACAAGTCTATATTTCTTTCAGAAGCAGCACACAGTTCTTCGCCTAAAGCTAATCAAAACTATTTTTGAGCTATTTTCCTAAATCACTATCCCATAAGTCTGATGAAACACGCTGGTCTGCTACATCTTTGCTGGCCAATGCTATGAGTAACTGTGCTGATGTGATGCGGTGGTAGCAGTGTGTTTCTGACCCCTTCATGCTATCTGTTCTAATGATGCTCAGGCCTCCATCAAAGCAGGGACCCCCCGTGGCTCCTGGGGGCCCCTGGGCTCAGGCACAGTTGCTCTGCCTGCTTTTTCTCTCCTCACCGCTTGAGGCTCAGCACAGTAATGAGAAACAGAATTTAAAGAAAGCAAAAACAACACAATAAACTCCTCCATCTTGGACTGACATCTCGTCTGCGTTCTGTCAGCTTGCTCCTCCGTATCAAAAGCAAAGATTGTTTTAATGCAGCGGTTCAAACACATTGGCTTGTCCGCTTTTTCTTTCTGTCTCTTGCTTGCAACTCGCACGAACCATGCGAGATCAGTGTAAAGCGTGAGCGCGTATGGATTGATATGATTCAGCTTAGTGGGCCGATGCAGGACAGAGGGGGAAAACGATTGATTTTTTGCCGATAGAGGCTCCGTGTTGATCCTAGGGCCACATTCATTTTCATCACTCAGACGAGGGGAAAAAACACAGCGGCGTGACACTTGTTTTGCCAGTCGTCATGGTAACAGAGACCGCCGAAGTCACGGGAGGTCATGGAACTAGTGAGGGGGAATAGGAGTTGAGAAAAATCAACATTTTATCAACTGCCCTTCAACCTTCACAATGGGCTTCTCTGTCTGTCTCTTCCAGTGTGTGGCCCTTGGACCCCGGCAATTTCTCTGCATTACACCGACTCCTTCACCAGATGCTGCGATTGGGTTGATTTAATCTTTTCCGTCGCTGTCCACTGTTTTGTCGTTGTTCCCTGTGTAAAATATTTGTTATGTACTGTGTTTCTGTGTCTTTTTTACAATGTTGTCTCTGGCGCATTACGGTAAGCTTTTTTGCATAATTAATCCAATGTGTTTTTATGGTAAGTTAAGGTCTAAAAAAAACCAAAATGATTAATCATTGGTGAAATCGAGCTTTTTGTTGTGTAAAATTGTGTTTGAAATAAAAACGATTGAAATATTCTGAGAATTTTGTCTTTAAGTCATCTCATGTCATCGTGGTGCCACCCCCCACTTTGAGAATCATTGCACTCGGGAAACCTGTCAGGAGCAAAGTTCATCGCTCCTCTCAATCTCCGCTTGGTCCAAACTACGGGAGCTGGAGGATTTTACCTATTTCATGTTTTGGGAGCTGTTGGAAACTGGAGCGCTTGGAGGAAATCCACCCAGACACTTTGAGAAACATGCAGATTCCACACAGACAGTCCTGAAACAAGAACAAACCCACATCCATGTTGCTGTGGATCATGAAAGCTATACTCACTACTTATTTGACTTGTTTGTTTTTATCACCATACTTCTTAGACCGGCTGACGCAAACCAAGATGGCGGACATAAAGTCTGTGAATTGTTTAAATACGAACAAATAAAGACACAGATGTCACTTTTAATGCAATTTCAGGCAAGATTTTGATGGTTCCATGTTGTGATATGTGGGTTTGACAGTAACTGCTCCTGTCAAACCACCCTGCTACTGTTTGATAGCAGTCCTGTTAGCTCCTGACCACACTGCTACTGTTTGATTTCTTGACGAGTAGAACTGCCGCATATGTCATTTTACTGACGTAGGCCGATCCATTCATTAATAATACCATATCAAGTTGTAAGTGTCATCGGCCTACGTCAGTAAAGTTGTGCATGCCCAGGTTTGCACTACATCATAAACAGCGAAGGCCTCACAACTCGACAAAGCGGCAAACATCGACAGAACCCAGGCAAGATTTTGTTTATTTGTTGCAAACAATCAAAAACATGCCTTTGTTGTCTTCGTTCAAGCTCAAAGTGAATTTCAGGTACTTTTCGAGAGCAAAACAGAATTGAAGACAAGCACTGGTTAGACCCGCCCACGCTCACCTCTGCAGCGTCCTGATTGGTCAAAATGAATTCAAATCCTTGAGGCTCCTTGTTATTGGTTTAAATGTTTTCCTGATGGTGTATATGCTAAGAGGAGATACTATTTTAAGCACATACTGTATTTATGAAAGAATTCTGTACACAATTCTTTGTTTACATAATAGTGCAGTGTCCCTTGGTCAGAAATATACTTTTTTTTTTAACCCTTTAAGGATCACCTAATTTCGCCTGTTCCTTTTCGAATTATGATACCCAAATGGAAATGCTTATTGTGTGGACATCTTGTGTCTGATTTTGTGTTATGAGGCCTCATTTGAAAGGTAACACCTTCTAGTTTCTGGAAATGTATGTTACAGTTTGTTAGGAAGGACACAGTCTGCACTACAGCTTCTCAAACATGAGTCAAAGTTAGTTTTTTTTGTCTCAAAAAAAATAAGGCAATTTCAAAAGGTTCTCCTGAAGACATACTTTATGGTATGTTGTTCAAACTCACCAGAGCAGATGTTTTTGGTGTTGGCAACACCTGTATGAAATTTTAGACCTTTAGGTGGAACTATTTTGATGCTGGGGGCTTTTTTGTAACTAATGGGCACATTCGGCACAAGTGGTCCATTTTTGTGCCAACTGTGCCAAAGTGTTTTACATGCAAATTATCAACGTTATTACACCAAAAATCAAATTTGGTATTTCAACATATTGAAATGTTTGCAGAAAAGCTATTATTTATATAGTTATAGCGCGTGTTCTCCGTGAAAGAGGCTCCGTCTTCCTCTCTTACGCATTCAAATATGACTGGAACTGTGGGAGGAACCTTGAAGTCCGACACATCGCCTGAAACCTGAGATTATTGGCTACAAGATGATTTGATTGACATCCAAATCGGCCAATGGTACTCAAGACAATGCTGTCGTGACGCACAGATATCTATATGACTGGAGCGCTAAAGCTAGGTGTGCTTGTTTTACTCAACTTACTCTACCTTCCAAACCATAGCACTGAAAAGTCCGGGATTGGGCTTGTTTTGAAGGGGAGGCTTAGGGGAAGACGAACATACCCAGTGACGCTAGCTAAACAGTAAAATGTTCTCTTCATACAGTGCGCAAAGAACAAGTTTTGTTTTTGTTTGTGCAACTTTCAATACTCAAATATGTTGTTACAAGTGGATATCTACTATAAGGATAACTTTGAAGAAAAAACACCTGGATATAATTATTCTCTAGACCCTAACGAACAAAATGAATGAACACATGTGTGGATTAGACGTGATTTGCCCCAGAATATTAGCATGAAAAGGTAAGAAAGGACAATATATATTTTATATATAAATACAGTTTGACTACTTATTCTTACTTTTGATTATATTTAATGTTTATTTGAACATAATACGCGTTTAGAGGTGGGAATAAGCTTTCAAAAGAGATATAGCTTGACTATATTGACACAAGTGAATTCTAATTCTGTGATGCTGTTAAATGAAAAATTACTGAATCCTCCCTGTACAGGGAGGGTGATCCTTAAAAGGTATAAAATGCACTTTAAGTCGCTGACATCACCTTTTAGTCCCTGTCGTCAAATCTGTAACATTTTCTCGTTAGCATAAGAAAACTATAAATACAGAGAAAAGGTCCGAGAGAATATTTTGTATCATTTTTACAGAACTTACCAATACACTACTTACCAAACTTAAACTTACATCCCTTCCACCATAGCATTTGCCCAAAACAAAAAAGTATCCTTGCTCACGACAAAATTGTGATAAAACTTTTATATCTTCTCTTCATGTTAATTCACTTTGTAACAGACTACATCCCTCATTCTTCTTTACTCTTTGGAGAATAGAGTTTACGACCATGATCCCAGATTTGTTGTCACTGTGCATTTGGGCGGTGATACGTTTCCTGGCTCTTTATCTAATTTGCTGGGGGCTGATGGGCGGACGGGTTTGAGGGAAGTGAAGAGAAAGATGCTGCCAACTCACTCTCCTCAGGTGATAATTGGCTGCTGATGCAACACACAGCCCCAGTAATTAATCTGTTGTTGTGAGTGCACCACGATCACAAACAACATGTTACTGTGATGCCATTTAAGTCAATCCAGACGACATGGTGACGCTAGTGTTTTTTAATGTAGCAAATGAAGCTTCATGGTGAAAATGGCAAATCCCCAAAGTTTGGATTTCTCTGAAAAGTATAAAAAAAAAAAAAAAAACTCGTAGTCTCGCACATTTTTGTTTGACTGCAAAATGTTCATGTGGAAATTGTGGTTTTAGACACATTCATAATTTTAATGATTGTCACTCTCTATTCTCTCTAAAATCATCAAAACTCTAATTCAGAACGCTTTAGAGCACAAACAAATGGCTGGGCTCTTTGTGAAGCTGCTGGCCCTTGTGAGCTTTTGTCTCGGATGACACATTTACTCTGATTATAAGTGGGAACAACCTCTGCATGGATCAAAGTCCACAGTCTGCTGCATGTTCTGTGGTCGACTTGGATTGTAGAATTTGTGATTGTAGATTGGACTATGGACTGTAGAAGGACCAACTGTTGCCTGTTAACACTTCTGCTTTCACGGCTGAGGTAAAGGTCACTGGGAATGAGATTTAGAGATCTGTAATAAAACAAAAAGGTCCAGGAGGGAAACGTGTAATCCCATATAACATTTTGTTCTTGCTAATTTGATGACAAATATTTATCTGTGAGTTTGTTGTTCAGGCGGATCCTGATTAATCCCAGAATGTTTGACTTGAAATAAGACCAATACACCTTTACTTTGTAGTGAGATGGTTATATTTTATCAATTGGTATTAAGTCAGTTAGTAGTAGTAAAATACAAACTAGTAAGACTGAGGCAGACATAGAATACATGTTTCTATCACAAGAAGTTAGCAAAAGGGTGAGAATATATAATATAGGTTTTTGATTCGTTACTAATCATAGAATTAAAAAAACGATAAAAAATATTAACATTTTATAAACTAATGAAACACCTTTGAGATGTTTCATTGAGAAATATTGAGAAATATTTTACTTTTCTTGATTTCTGCTGCCAGCATTTTATTATCATCCGGAATATTTAACAGGATGGATTTAGCCTTTTAGCCCTTTAGATGTGGCACCGCTCACATGGGAACACATGCGTTTTAAAGGGGTTTAAGACATATATTTGTATGAAAGGACATTTCCCAAACGGCAAATATTCCTGGACAAAGAATAAGCGCTCTACAGAGACAAGCAGGTGACCCCTGGCTCCAACAGT